CCACCGCAGCCTCGACCTGCTGGGCTCTGGCGATCCTTCCATCTCAGCCTTCCAGGTAGCTGGAATGACAGGCGCGCGCTACCACGCCCGGCTAAGTTTTTGACTTACTGTAGAGACGAGGTCTCATGATGTTGCCCAGGCTGGTCTCGAACCTGTGGTCTCAGGCAATCCTCTCGCCTCGGCCTCCCAAAGTGCTGGGATTATAGGCTTGAGCCACCGCGTCCGGCCGGTTGTTGTTTCTAACTAGTCTTTTCTTAAAGTTGAAAGGGAAATTCTCATTTTTATTGGCAAGACAATTGTTGAACTATTTCATTTCCTCCTAGACTTTCTCTTTCTGAAGCATCTGCCACCTCTTGCCCACTCAGTTTCATATGAGATGAACTAAGTGTCTGCTTTGCTCTGAAATAGTTCTGAGAAAATTAGCTCAACAAATTCTTTGGTAACCTTGTTGTATCATTCCTCACAGACAAAATGGGTAATCTACTCAGACTTTTTTTTTTCAGTAAACCTGTCTTTTAATAGGCAAATTTATTCAACTATTATCAAGATAATTCCTACTCAGCAAGAAGAAGGAATAAGACATAATGATGCAGTTGAGTACAGATTTAAAAATTTAGAAGATGGAATACTTAAGCTCTTATTCCTCACATTTTCTAATCCTTACCAAAATTTAGCAAAACACCAACAGTGTATTTGCAGTTCAATAGAAAATGATTACATTATACCAATAAAAGTTTTTACTGGTTTATTCAAAATTTTACTTTTAATTGTCTTCAGATAGTATATTTAGATCTATTGTAATCTATAGCATATGTATGTAGAGACTATTTGAAGAACCCGTGAGTTTTATTCTTATGTAACCAAGGCTTTGGTTTGGTTTGGTTTGCTTCAGTTTGGCGTGGTACATCTTTATAATATCCTTAATTATTTTGAAAAGCAATTTAATTAGAAAGCTATTTGACTCATTTAATATTTGAAAAAAAATCTTATGAATAAGATCTGTAAAATGTATGTGTAATCTGAAAGTGACGCTTTATAGATGGAAACCAAGACGCAGAAACATTTGGCTTATTCTTCAGAACTACACCACATGTGTAATGTTACTTACAATTTTTAGTGATTTGGAATGCAAATTTTATATTTATTCACTCAAATATTGTGGGATGCCTATTCTCCAAGGCATCTAAACTAAATCTTTAAAAGAAAAAAAAAGATTTTTGTAAAGGAAAAAAGGCATCCCTTAAAAATCCATTAATAAGCCGGTCTTGGTGGCTCAGCCTGTAATCCCGCGCCTTTGGGAGGCTGAGGTGAGTGGATTGCCTGAGCCCGCGGGTTTGAGACCTGCCTGGGCAGGCGAGACCTCATCTCTACAATAAATCAAAAAATCAGCCGGGCGTGGTAGCTCATGCCTGTAATTCCGGCTACTCGGAAGGCTGAGGCGGAAGGATCGCCGGAGTCCAGCAGGTCGAGGCCGTGGTGGCCAGGAGAGGCCACTGCACTCCAGTCTGAGTGACAGAGTGAGACTCCAACTCAAAAAAAGTTAAAAAAAATCCATTAATATTCCCATTTCAATGTAAGGATAATTATGGGTTTTTAAATAGGCATAGCCTGGAAAATTAAGATTTGTGTTTGTATAAATGCAAATTTTCACAGTATTACTATAGTAAATATTCACAAATTTATATAAAATCAATTTGTGATATATTTAAGACTAAATTACCTTTAAAAGTAATTTTGCCACTTGTACCAAGATATTCTTTTGTGGATTACTTATTCTTAAAAACCATGCCTAGTTTATAACGTCTTCAAATTTGTTAAGTGAATGAATTAATGATATGTTCCCCCCAAAAATATTCAAAATAAATATAATAATATATGTAAAAACTCCTGTAAATAGTCCATTGTTTACAAATCTTTAGTGGAACTAAAATGATTCCTGGTACTCAGGGATGTATAGGTTGTACACTGCTGAAACTGAAGGGGTGCTCTTCCCAGGCTACAAAATTATACAAGGCAGTCTCGATAAATACATGGAGGGTTTTGGCTTAGAGTTCAAAAATTGATGTCTCTAGAAGGATTTGAAATGTCTCTCTAATGCAGGGTCCTCCATGTCTCTGAGTGTGCACGTGTACATGCTTGTTTCTGTATTTTCTCACCTCCCGACTGCTGTTTGTGTATTTGGATTCAATTACTAAAGAGCCCAGAAAGTGAATGTGAGACAAGCCATCAGGAAGCTGAATATTCAGTAAACGCATCCTCTCAGAATGAAACAGACGGCACAACAAGAGATTTGCTTAAACATAAGATTTTAATTGATATATAAAAATAACTACTTTGCAAAGTAGCATGGCTTCTGCTGTTATATTTAGTGTATTTTTCTCTTATTATTTACTATATGCTCTATGGGGTTTAAGTAGCTATTTTTAAGTTCTATAGCTTATAAGTGGTGGACTGTTCTTTTTGGTAAATTTAATCCAATATATATTTTTTAATGCCTATGATTGGAAAAACTATTGATATTCAAGGAGGGACCCAAAAAAAAACCAAAATCATTTTTTTTGGAGGACAGACCCCCTGTTGTACAGGTTTCCCCCACTAGGTAAGTGTTCTAGGAAGCCAACGGCATCAGTGTACCAGTTAGTGTTGTTGTGAGAGGCTGCATTTCGCTTTAGTGAATTTTTTTTGGAGATTCTTTCAACACATTTGGCCATTTCATGATGGGTGATTTACAAATGCATCTATCCACATTACTGTGAGTATTCAGCAACTTTTGACCAAAAATGGCGTGACCACTGTATCCCACCTCCCTATTCACTTGATCTTACCCCAAGGGACTGTTTTTGTTTCCCTGGATGAAAAAAAATCCTCAAAGGGAAACATTTTGCCCATGTGGAAGAAGTGAAACAAAAAATGCCAGAAGCACTAAAAGGCATCAAAACTGGAGTTCAAAAACTTTTGAGTAGTGAAAAAAGTGCCTTGATAGGTGTATTGCATCAAACAAAGAGTACTTTGAAGGTGACTGAAGTTTAAACATGTAAGAATAAAACCACAATTTTTTATAAATAAGTTCTGGACTTTTGGGGGTCCCCTCCTCGTATTTGCTAAGTAAAATTCTGGTTCAATGTCCACAGCACAAGATAATCATTTATTAAGCAAACAGTACAGTGCCAAGCAAATCGTAGGGCTTCAACACACCATTTCATTCCCCTTTTCTTTCCTATGTCTTATTGCAATTTTCATTCAGTGAAAATAAGTGAAATAAGAAAGTCAAGACTGCAGTAGCCACACACTGGAATTTCAAACATTAACTTTTAGAAAGAAAAGGCATTAAAGAATTTACAAAAAGTATTTGAATTTTATAAAATTATAATTTTACTGTAATGTCTGAAAAAGTATTTGACTATCTGATAATAGTCTGATCGTAGATGAATTTTTTAGATGTATTTTGCCTATTGTTAACTTTATTTGAACTTGACATCTAATGAATGCATAATTATCAGTTGGGCTCCAAATCTTACTTAGTTAAAATATCATATAGCCTATTACAGATCCTGCTGTGTTTTTGAAAGCATACTTTTATATATCAGAAAAGCAAACTTTTTATTAGGACATAAAATCTATATGGCCTTAGTACTAGCAACCATTAGAAGCTATGAGAATTGCAATATAATTTTAATAATACAACTTTTAATCACAGTGTAGAAATAGCAATGTCTTATCAATATGCTGTAATGTCTATTAAATACCATAAACTTAAACTCTATAAACATGTATACATTCCTAAAAAATTAAATAAAATAAAATTATTTATTCAAATTTCCTCCTGTAATCATTGTGCCTTCATTATTTGTATAAAGTGTTGCAACTTCCCAAAATATCAGGCACGTTCATATTCAAATATTACACAAAAGTGCATTCCAAACTCAAATAAGAAATACTTTTCAATTTATCTAAGCACTGTTTAGAAATTCTAATATGAAGATAAATTTATATAAAATATTTCCAAATTTGGGAATAGGACAAACTAATCCCTTGGTTACGGGCTTTTCTTTTATTAAAAGATGCAATACTAAACAACATTTATATAAGTACTTCAGTACTAGCAAAATAGCTAAAGCTTAAACTGAGCCAATTTCTGTTATAGTGAATTGCTTTTTATGCTGAAATCAATCAGGCAAATAAAAGTTATTTATGACAATGGAATAAAAAAGATAATTTCATATTCGAAGGAGATCCTAAAACTACAATTATTCAATTTTTTAAAAAAGTAAAATCTAAAAATTATTCAATAATTTCAGATGTATTCCTCAAAGCTAATTTCGATTAATTGATACATATGACCCTTTTTAATTTATATAAAAGATTTTTAAAAAACTCGTTCTTGGGCTAAGTTAGTGGAAAAATACATTCTCATTTTTTAGACAGGTTTTATTGAAGATTGTTTTTTAAAAAGTGCAGTATACATAGTTAAAATTAACAACTAGCAGTTTCTAGAAATTCTTGAGAGCCAACTTATAAGACTATGAAGTTCCTTAAACTTAGCACCATTTATATACATAAAAAACTGATATGCCGGAGTTATTTAAAACAGCTTATTCTTTACAATCTAGCCTTCATTTCTTTCCATAGTGTAAAAACGTACGCCACCCCCAAAATAATTATTACAAATACACACATTTTCATTAAAAAAAAAAAAAATAGGTCTTACTATATCGCACTTTCTTCTTAAGATGGGAACACTTCAAAACTAGAGAAAATCCTGAGTCTGGTTAGGTAGTTGAAGTAGACATAAGACAGAGTCACTAGGACATTTTTACACAGGCCCAGTACCGGTGTGACAGTCCCCAGGGCGATAATTAAACCAAGTCTCACACAGACAAAAGGTAAATCCTGCAGCAGGACGCCCAGGGAGTTGAGAAGAGGGTTTTGGGGAGTGAATGTAATTCGAAGGAGAGAAATGAAACTGAATATGTAGACCGGATACAGCCAGCCTGACTTGTACACGGCGGGGTGGCCGGCCACACGCACCATTTCTATGGTGTCAGACCACAGGAGAAAACTCCACAGGAATATCTCTGATCGGACATCACGCCGGGATACTGTTCTCAGGATTCCCCAGTGAAAGGAGGGCTCCTGGGGTGCCCTTAGCACAGACACCTGGCTGTGGGGCGTGGCTCTGGGGGCTCGTGACATCTGGGTTCTGCTGTCTGCCTGGGGGGATGCAGGGTTTTCTTCACTTTGCCTTATTTGCTCCGTCACCGTTTTTATTTGTTGCAAAGAGGTCGTGTAGATGTAGCCATCTTCATTACCTGCAAGACATGTTTATTTACATGTTAAGTCTAAAAATATATCCATCTTAATTTACATAACATTCAAATAAAATTTTAAAATTAAATAAAATTAAGTGATTTATTCAAATTTCCTCCCGTAATCATCTGTGCAAGCCTTCGTTATTTGTATAAAGTGTTGTGACTTCCCAAAATACCAGGCGTGTTCACACTCAAATATTACACAAAAATGCATTCTAAACTCAAATAAGAAATACTTTTGAATTTATCTAAGCACTGTTTATAAATTCTAATATGAAGATAAATTTATACAAAATATTTCCACATTTGGGAATATGACAAACGAATCCCTTGGTTATGGGCTGTTCTTTTATTAAAAGATGGACCTCGACTTCATTATACTAAAATTCAATTTAAATTTAAAAGTGACATCCTAAGTGTTCTCTTATTTGAGGCCTATTTTACATCCAGAACTTTAAGTTTACAATGAGGGAGCACACAGAAAAAACACAGAGGTGGAGAAGGCTCTTAGCACCTAGATATTCTCCTGGATATGGATCCCAAGTCATTGTTACCATTTCATAGTAACAGCCATGACTGGTTACTCAGCTAAGCATTTTCACATGTTGTCTCAATTAATCTTTAGAACAGGCCAGGCACAGTGGCTCACACCTGTAATCACAGCATTTAGGGAGATTGAGGCAGGAGCATCACTTGAGGCCAGGAGTTGGAAACAAGCCTGGGCAACATAGCAAGACCCTGTCTCCACAAATATTAAAATTTGTGGGGCGAGGTGGTGTAAGCCTTTAGTCTCAGCTACTCAGAAGGCAGAAGGATCTCTTGAGCTCAGGAGGCGGCGAATACAATGAGTCACGATTGCATCACTGCACCCAAGCCTAGGTGACACAGCAAGATCCTGTCTCAAACAAAATAAAAAAATAAATCTCAGAACAAACATGGTAGGGATTTCTATCTCATTTTACAAATACAGAAACTGGGGCCCAAGAGGTCAAATGACACCCATATTCAAACACACGGTTAGTAATGAGCATAGCTGGAATTCCCGCCCAGATTTGTTTGACTCCTATTGGCAAACTCTTAACTTTATGGCTGTTATTATCTTCCTAAGGGCAATATATCATGTGCCATTTACAAAATATATGAATATTGGAAAATCAAATGAATCTAAATGTTCACTGGTTCGACCTTGCCATTTTATGACATGAAGCAGAGGTTCATAGTGTCGCTATGCCCTAGGTCTCCAGGCATGGCGTTTGCAGTTAAGACAGGATCTATTTGACCACTAGATTCAAAGTGAAGAGTGCCATTCTGAATCAAAGGCTGTCAAGCTGTTCTTTCCCAAAGGTCTTTGAAGAGATCAATAGGATTGGTAAATCTAAAGCATCTCTTCTGTGGTCGTGAGACTGTGTACCTGGTCAACACACCAGTCATTCGAATGAGTAGGGCGTGAGACTTATAGCCATCATATGTGTGTGTGTGTGTGTATTCCTCTCCGTGGACACATGGGTGTCGAGGCTGGATTATGAAGGAACCCAAGGGACCCTCAAATCTCAAGACCCACAATGTTGATGGTCATTGTTCTTATATATGAAAGGTATATAACATGTTCTTTTCAAACGGTTACCCACTTAAACACCTTTTTCTTGCTAAGAATTTATCAGACCTTCACAGTTTATTCAGTGAACATGCTGAGCTGTCAAATTTCATGATAAGAGAAAATTTAAAGAGAATCAATAGACTGAATAGCTCTAAAGGTCAAAGAGACAAAGTCAATACAAATTTATTGAACTGCATTGAGCTGAAAGTGAAAACACTTTAAAATAAATAAATTGTGATAACTAATACATGCTTACTATAAATAAGAGTATTAAAGGACATGATAAAGTTCAATTCTCTTTTATTCAATGAACCCATTATTTTAAAATTTTAAGTGTGAATTGAGCATTTTTATAAACTGAAAAATATCTAAGTTCTTGATTACACATTACTGACTTCTGGCATGAATCATTCATGGATACACGCCAGCACCCATGACCTTAGAAACCTCTTCAGCAACCTTCCAAGTCACAGTGCCCTGAGTGGGTATCACCTTAATAAATAATACTCAAGTAAAAAAGGAAATTATATACCAATTGACTATTATTTTTAAATTTATAAAATCATTTCTTTTTAAACTCTGATGCTCGCTTGCACCAATTGCATCTCTCCTTGTATTTCTTAAAATTCAATACAGAAAATGTGTCTTAGAATACGTCATGTCCTAGAGAACTTTCCTTCACCTTGTAGTAGATAAAGCTGTTTGAATGAAAATCCAAATGCCTTTGTCAACATTAAGAGCACAGTGTATAATTTGGGCTTTTGGAAGATGATTGCAAATTCAGCATTGTTTCAAAGCCAGGAAGTGGCAATCTCAAAAAGTGACACATTAACATTTTTTAAACAGTGAGAGTCTTAATATCTGAAGCTAAGAGCGTTGGTGTGAACAATGAATTCTTAGCTAGAGCTTTTGATGAAATACATGTGTACCATATTTGGTGAAATTAGGGTTGGGACCATTGTATCTCTCCATAGCTCAGTAGAGACTACTTTAGATTTGGGGGCACAGGGACTCTGCTTCCTCATTTCCGGTGAGAAGCACCAAAACCATTAACTGGAAATCTCTGCGGGCCTCCCAGAGGCCAGGGAGAGTTGAGGAAGCCAAGAAATCTTTTGGTCATTGGAGTAGACCAACAAACGTATCTCTGAGCAATGTACACATCTATTTATTGAATGCTATTCTCTTTGGTTCCATGATCAGTTTCTTCTCCAAATTAATACTTTTACAATGTCCACTTACAGCTGGAGTTTTTTCTCTTGTTTTTGTTAGTCATGTGTTGCTCTATTTGGGTAAGACAATATTCATTTATGCAAAATCTGTGAAGGATATAAGTGTACAGAGAGCAATCTGCTCACTTCCTGAGAGGCTCACAATGCTCTGTAAAATGTAAAAATAGCAGCCGCTTGTGCAGTTCCCACATCTGATGCCAGTTGCAGAAACAACTTTTGGTCTTCACTGTGCAAACTAAATAATGAAGGAAATGTAATTTCAATAAGAGGTACGTGTTTAAGTAGGTAACTACTACCTATTGTATGTTATTATTTATTTATATGAATTTATTTCTACCTCTAACTTGTCCTCCAAACGTTTTTGGTAGCTTATAGGGAAGAAAATAAGATACAAAATTACAATTCAGTCGTGAGGTGTTTTCTAGCGTGAGCATGTATTCCTCTTGCAAAGAGAATCAGAAAGTAATAAGTTATCTAAATAAAAAGAGAGAAGGCGGCCGAGAGCGGTGGCTCACTCATGCCTGTAACCCCGGCAATTTGGGAGGCTGAGGTGGGAGGATTGCTTCAGCCCAAGAGTTCGAGACAAGCCTGGGCAACATACTGAGATCTTGTCTCGATAAAAGATTTAAAAATTAGCCAAGTGTGATGGTGCACGCCTATAGCCTCAGCTACTTGGGAGGCAGAGGCAAAGGGATCGCCTGAGCCCAGGAGGTCGAGGATGTGATGAGAGAGGGAGGGAGGGAGGAAGAGAGAGTGGGCGGGAAGGAAGGAGGGAAGGAGAAAGAAAAAAAGGAAGAACCACAAGAAAAGACACCGAAAACAAACAGGAATAAAGCTGATGGTAAAAATGCATTAGTTAGACTCCAAAACGCCTGTTAGGAGCAGACATCCATTGCAGTGCTGCACCAAGCTGGACATTGGCAGATGGTGTAGTAAATAGTCTGACAGCCCCACCATCGTGGCTCTAAGTCACCTGTAATCACACTAATAAATACAGAACAATAAATGGTGGCAGGGCTTTGAAAGGAAGTGAATGCTGTGATGAGATTATCACAGAGGATTCCAATTAGCCTGGAGAGTCAAGGGAGGCTCATCTGAGAAGTGACAGTTAAGCAGAGATGGGAAGAATAAGTAGAAATGAATCAGGTGAAGAATGGAAATAAGAATTTGCCAGGCAGTGGGAACAGCATGTAAGAAGACCCTTCACCTTGCCTGAGTTGAAAGAAGTAGGGTTCGGGGAGAGGTGGAGATGCAGAGAGGGGGTGGGCTAGTATTTTCTACACACCGGGCACCTAAGCTCTTTATAGGCATTCGAGTAGCGGTCCCCAACCTTTCATGGCATCAGGGACGGGCTTCCTGGAAACCACGGACGGAGGGGAGGGTGGGGATCACCAGGCATCAGAGCCTCAAAGGAACCACAACCGAGATCCCTGGCATGCGCAGTTCACATTGGGGTTCAAGCTACTGTGAGAACCTAAAGCCGCCACTGATCTCACAGCGCTGAGCTCTGCTCGCCCACCGCTCGCCACCTGCTGTGCGGCCCAGTTCCTGGCAGGCCACAGACCAGTACCGGTCCATGACCCGGGGGGTTGGGGATTTCTGTGTTAGATCACTTATGGAAACTCTATGATGTCGATATTATTATTTTCCCATTTCGTTTTATTTTTGCTTTTTTCTTTTTTGGAAAAAAAGATCTTGCTCTGTTGCCCAGGCTGGAGTGCAGTGGTGCGGTCATAGCTCACTGCAGCTTCCAGCTCCTGGGCTCAAGCGATCCTCCTGCCTCAGCCTCCCCTGTAGTTGGGACTATAGTCATGAGCCACTAAGCCTGGCTAATTTTTTTTTTTGTACAGATGGGGACTTACTATGGTGCCCAGGTTGATCTTAAATTCTTAGCCTTTAGCAATCCTCCCGCCTTGGCCTCCCAAAGTGCTGGGATTACAGTCACGAGCCATCACATCTGGTCTATTTTCCCATTTTAATGGTGAGTAAACTGAGGCACAGAGAGATTAAGCATTGTTTCCAAAGTCACACAGTTAGCAAGTAGAGAGAACAAAACTTGAATTCCAAACCCTTAACTCCTATACCACTCTATGGCAGAGATGGATTTTAGAGAGACTTGTGGGCCAGAAAAAAAGTTTTAGACTTTATTCTAAGTTCAATAGAAAGCCATTAAA